CCACCACCACACATACAGGCCTCCACCACCACACATACAGACCTCCACTACCACACATACAGGCTTCCACCACCACACATACAGACCTCCACCACCACACATACAGACCCACCACCACCACACATACAGGCCTCCACCACCACACATACAGGCCCTCCACCACCACACATACAGACCCACCACCACCACACATACAGGCCACCACCACCACACATAGAGACCTCCACTACCACACATACAGGCTTCCACCACCACACATACAGACCTCCACTACCACACATACAGACCCACCACCAAACATACAGCCCACCACTACCACACATACAGATCTCCACCACCACACATACAGACCCACCACCACCACGACACATACAGGCCTCCACCACCACACATACAGGCCTCCACCACCACACATACAGACCTCCACCACCACACATACAGACCTCCACCACCACACATACAGACCTCCACCACCACACATACAGACCTCCACCACCACACATACAGACCTACACCACCACACATACAGACCCACCACCACCACACATACAGACCCACCACCACACATACACACCACCACACATACAGACCCACCACCACCACACATACAGGCCTCCACCACCACACATACAGACCTCCACCACCACACATACAGACCCCCACTACCACACATACAGACCTCCACCACCACACATACAGACCTCCACCACCACACATACAGACCTCCACCACCACACATACAGACCTCCACCACCACACATACAGATCTCCACTATAACACATACAGACATCCACCACCACACATACAGACCTCTACCACCACACATACAGACCCACCACCACACATACAGACCTCCACCACCACACATACAGACCTCCACCACCACACATACAGACCTCCACCACCTCACATACAGACCTCCACCACCTCACATACAGGCCTCCACCACCTCACATACAGGCCTCCACCACCACACATACAGACCTCCACCACCACACATACAGACCTCCACCACCACACATACAGACCTCCACCACCACACATACAGACCTCCACTACCACACATATAGACCTCCACCTCCACACATACAGACTCTCCACTACAACACATACAGACCCACCACCACCACACATACAGACATCCACCACCACACATACAGACCTCCACCAATACACATACAGACCTCCAATACCACATATACAGACCTCCACCACCACACATACAGACCCATTACTACCACACATACAGACCCACCACTACCACACATACAGACCCACCACCACCACACATACAGACCTCCACTGCCACACATACAGACCCACCACCACCACACATACAGACCCACCACCACCACACATACAGACCCACCACCACCACACATACAGACCTCTACCACCACACATACAGACATCCACTACCACACATACAGGCCTCCACCACACATACAGACCACCACCACCACACATACAGACCACCACCACCACACATACAGACCTCTACCACCACACATACAGACCTCCACTCCACTACAGACCCACCACCACACATACAGACCACCACCACCACACATACAGACCACCACATACAGACCTCCACATACAGACCACCACATACAGACCTCCACCACCACACATACAGACCACCACCACCACACATACAGACCCACCACCACACATACAACAAGGCAATAATGCGTGAACGCCATCCTACACCCACTGTAGATGATATGATCTACCGCTTGAATGGTGCAACTGTATTCAGCAAGTTAGATTTAAACAAGGGCTATCATCAGCTTGAACTTGATGATGAGAGTCGATTCATCACAACGTTTACGACACATCGAGGTCTGTATAGGTACAAGCGCCTGAGTTTTGGTATGAACAGTGCTGCTGAGGTATTCCAGCACATCATCAGCCAGGTATTGCAAGACATACCTAATGCTGACAACATGTCTGATGACATCATTGTTTATGGCCGTACCCAAGCTGAACACGACAAAGCTCTTCGTGCAACATTGCAACGAAGCCTCGTACAGCCTCCCATCAATCTGTACAGCCTCCCATCAATCTGTACAGCCTCCCATCAACCTGTACAGCCTCACATCAACCAGTACAGCCTCCCATCAACCAGTACAGCCCGCCACCCAACCAGTACAGCCTCCCATCAACCAGTACAGCCTCCCATCAACCAGTACAGCCTCCCATCAATCTGTACAGCCTCCCATCAATCTGTACAGCCTCCCATCAACCTGTACAGCCTCACATCAACCAGTACAGCCTCCCATCAACCAGTACAGCCCGCCACCCAACCAGTACAGCCTCCCATCAACCAGTACAGCCTCCCATCAACCAGTACAGCCTCCCATCAACCAGTACAGCCTCCCATCAACCAGTACAGCCTCCCATCAACCAGTACAGCCTCTCATCAACCAGTACAGCCTCCCATCAACCAGTACAGCCTCCCATCACCCAGTACAGCCTCCCATCAACCTGTACAGCCTCCCATCAACCAGTACAGCCTCCCATCAACCAGTACAGCCTCCCATCAACCAGTACAGCCTTCCATCACCCAGTACAGCCTCCCATCAACCTGTACAGCCTCCCATCAAGCAGTACAGCCTCCCATCAACCTGTACAGCCTCCCATCAACCAGTACAGCCTCCAATCAACCAGTACAGCCTCCCATCAACCAGTACAGCCTCCCATCAACCAGTACAGCCTCCCATCAACCCGTACAGCCTCCCATCAACCAGTACAGTCTCCCATCAACCAGTACAGCCTCCCTCAACCATCAACCAGTACAGCCTCGTATGGGCCAATCAGCTGCCTCGTATGGGCCCAGCTGCCTCGTATGGGCCAATAGCAGCTGCCTCGTATGGGCCAGCACCAGTACAGCCAATAGCAGCTGCCTCGTATAGGCCAATAGCAGCTGCCTCGTATGGGCCAATAGCAGCTGCCTCGTATGGGCCAATAGCAGCTGCCTCGTATGGGCCAATAGCAGCTGCCTCGTATGGGCCAATAGCAGCTGCCTCGTATGGGCCAATAGCAGCTGCCTCGTATGGGCCAATAGCAGCTGCCTCGTATAGGGCCAATAGCAGCTGCCTCGTATAGGCCAATAGCAGCTGCCTCGTATGGGCCAATAGCAGCTGCCTCGTATGGGCCAATAGCAGCTGCCTCGTATGGGCCAATAGCAGCTGCCTCGTAGCTGCCTCGTTTGCCAATAGCAGCTGCCTCGTATGGGCCAATAGCAGCTGCCTCGTATGGGCCAATAGCAGCTGCCTCGTATGGGGCAATAGCAGCTGCCTCGTATAGGGCAATAGCAGCTGCCTCGTATAGGGCAATAGCAGCTGCCTCGTATGGGCCAATAGCAGCTGCCTCGTATGGGCCAATAGCAGCTGCCTCGTATGGGCCAATAGCAGCTGCCTCGTATGGGCCAATAGCAGCTGCCTCGTATGGGCCAATAGCAGCTGCCTCGTATGGGCCAATAGCAGCTGCCTCGTATGGGCCAATAGCAGCTGCCTCGTATGGGCCAATAGCAGCTGCCTCGTATGGGCCAATACCCTAACTCTTCGTCTTTCCAGTGAATGCAATTTAAGCTTTATTAATCTTTCTTCATATGAAAGACTTCTAATTTGGGGAATTAACTTTGTCATCCTACGTTGGACACGTTCAAGTGAATTTATATCCATTCTATAATACGGCGACCAAAACTGACTGCATAATCCTAACCAGAGCAAGATATAGCTTAAGAACCACACCAGGTGTCTTGTTACTAACGCTTCGATTAATAAATCCCAGTGTCCTATTCGCCTTATTACGAACATTCATGCATTGATCCTTTTGTTTTAAATTTTTTTTAAACACCCCATACCCAAGACTTTCCAATCTATTTGGAAACTCATAAACATGTCCAACCCACGTTTGAAACAATCAAGAGACCCCGCCTCCACCGTTACGCGGTAATTGATTCCACATATCAACAACCCTGTTACCGAACCAGTATTTACCTAAGTTGACCAGACCACACACTAGAAGAAAGGACGACGACGTTTCAGTCCGTCCTGGACCATTCTCAAATCGATCGACTTGAGAATGGTCCAGGACGGACCGAAACGTCGTCGTCCCTTCACCTTCTAGTGTGTGGTCTGGTCAACATACTTCAGCCACGTTATTGTGACTCATCGCCTGCATTTACGCGTCTTTCCTAAATCTAAATTTATCCAATTTATACCTCATTGTTTCGTGTTCTGTCTTGTGTTGATACTTTTAATACTCCATTAATATCCCCCTTTGTTATGTACATTCATCCACTTGTAAACCTCTATCATGTCACCCCCTAACTCTTCGCCTTTCCAGTGAATGCAATTTAAGCTTTGTTAATCTTTGTTAATCAGTTCAGTTTTGGTCGCTGTACTATAGAATGGATATAAATTCACTTGAACGTGTAAAGCGTAGGATGACAAAGTTAATTCCCCAAACTAGAAATCTTCCATATGAAGAAAGATTAACAAAGCTTAAATTGCATTCACTGGAACGGCGAAGAATTAGGAGCCAATTACCGCGTAACGTGGTGGAGGTGGGGTCCCTCGATTGTTTTAAACGTGAGTTGGACATGTATATAAGTGGGATTGAGTGGTTATAAATAGGAGCTGCCTCCTATGGGCCAATAAGCCTTCTGTAGTTTCTTTAGTATTAATATCTTGTGTTAAGTAATCAAACAGCTCCTTCATCCATGACCCGCCTGCGTTGGGATCAAGCACTTCCACCTCACCTCTCTACATATTGGTGAGGTGAGGGTACGTGGACCCCGACACATATATATAACAGAACATCAAGGAAATCATTCATTAACCAATCTGCACCATTCGCTGTTCTCTTGAAGATTATTCGGCCTTATAATTTACTTCTGGGAGAAAGTTGCATGTTCTAGTTACTGTTCGAACACTAGACACCACTCCACATTATAGATAAATATTTAGTCGTTGTTGTGAACACAATTATGAGTACCTCTTATAAAGATTACGAAGACGTTATTGACATATTCACTCAACTTGACAATCTTTCGAAAGAGAGTGATGTGTCTGTCACGACTCATCCTCTGCATGAGGAGACTGAGGAACAAGGCGCCAGAATGCTGCGGTACATTAGTGAGACGTCAGCAGTGTGTCCCAAGGAGTCTGGGCAAGAATTTACACTACTGAAGCCTGTGGAAGACACTGGTGAGAAGTTAGAAGACTCATCCTCTGTCACGACTTATCCTCTGCATGAGGAGACTGAGGAACAAGGCGCCAGTATGTTGAGGTACATTGGTGAGACGTCAGCAGTGTGTACCAAGGAGTCTGGGCAAGAATTTACACTACTGAAGCCTGTGGAAGACTCTGGTGAGAAGTTAGAAGACTCATCCTCTGTAACGACTTATCCTCTGCATGAGGAGACTGAGGAACAAGGCGCCAGTATGTTGAGGTACATTGGTGAGACGTCAGCAGTGTGTCCCAAGGAGTCTGGGCAAGAATTTACACTACTGAAGCCTGTGGAAGACTCTGGTGAGAAGTTAGAAGTGAGTCCCAAGTATGGGGAAGGATCTACAGTACTGAGGAGACGAAGGGCTGTACATAGTGGTGAGAAGTCAAAAGTGAGTCCCAAGTATGGGGAAGGATCTACAGTACTGAGGAGACGAAGGGCTGTCCATAGTGGTGAGAAGTCAGAAGAGAGTCCCAAGTATGGGGAAGGATCTACAGTACTGAGGAAAAGGAGGGCTGTACAAAGTGGTGAGAAGTCAGAAGAGAGTCCCAAGTATGGGGAAGGATCTCCACTACCGAAGAAACGGAGGGCGGTACGTAGTGGTATGAAGCCTACGTTATGTGACCGGTATCCTGGTGAGAAGTCAGAAGTATTTCCCAAGTCTGGCCAAGAATTTCCACTACTTAAGACTGTGGAACAAGGCAGGCTGGGGCATACTGGTGAGAAGTTAGAAGCGTGTCCAGAGTCCGGGGAAAGATCTACACTACTGAAGAAGCAAATGGTGGCAGATAGGCCGTCATGTTACCAGTGTGGGAAAACCTTCAGCGACCGCAGTGGCTTAAACAAGCACATGCTCGTCCATACTGGCGTTAAATCTCACGTGTGTGAAGAGTGTGGGAAAAAGTTCCTTCGAAATGATTATTTGCAGCAGCACCTGATGGCCCACAGTGGTGATAAACACTTCCTGTGCAAGCACTGCGGGAAAAGATTCTGCCGACTTGGCAACTTGAATGATCACATGATGGGACATAATGGTGCGAGACCTCACATGTGTCATGTGTGTGATAAACTATTCAGCAGACCGGACTATCTGAAGGACCACATGGTGGTTCATATGATTTGATGACAAACCTTACATGTGCCCACACTGTGGGGATAGATACACTCAGCTTGGAAATATGAACAAACACATTCAGCTGCATACAACTGTGCTCGGTGTGTGAGAATTTTGAAATATTGTATAAATAGTGAGAGCCTAATCTCAAAATTAGGCTACAATGTTCCTGTTAATAAACTTTCAAATTTACTGCAATTTGCCTATTAATATTCTTAAAATTTTCCTACAATGTACCTATTATTATTCAAATTTGGTACATATTATTAACTTATAATTATTTGTTAGATTAAGGACCTGTCCGAAATGTTGTGTGTTAGTGATGTTAAAAACATCAATGTTATATACTTACAAACCCAATGCACCTTCTTGCACTAGTATATAAATAAATGAAAAATAAAAAGGACATATGGTTTAAATATATATCTATTTATTTACAAGAATATTTTATTTACAATATTTACAAGAATAAATATTGTGATTTTATCCTGTAATGAAATCATATCCTAAACTAACTAATCAGTATAATGAACAAATCTACAATGACCGTAATAAGGATTTGAACCTACACACGGGATGTTCCCAGAAGCGCCTTAGTCAACTGTACCACCACATGGTCAAAAGAATGAGTCACAATAATGTGGCTGAAGTAGTTCGTCACAATCGACTTGAGAATGGTCCAGGACGGACCGAAATGTCGTCGTCCCTTCACCTTCTAGTGATTTTATACTTTTCAAACTAGATCATCCATATTATTCCAGTATACATAAGAAACTTCTTCATTTGCATTGGAATAATTAATACATAATCTAGCTTAACCTAGCTAACAGCCAATATCTATATATCTAAGTGAACAAATTGTTTACTGTGGCCAATCATATCCATTTCCTAGTAAGCATTCATAACATACTAGTAACAGTTCTGTCAAAAACCACAGTACTCAGTACAATCTTATTTCACATATATATATATATATATATATGAAAATATCTATCTTTAAAAGTGTTTTTAACACAGTAAGAATATTTCATTACAATATTACCTATATTAACTGAAGTAAACCCTACTGATTTGACCTACAGGTCAAATCATTAGGCATTTCTACAGGATTTTATCAACCCCCTACTAGGGTAATATATCTTGTAATAATTTTGCAAAAATAGTGCCATTTACTATTTTTAAATAGTTAATTACAAAATTTACCGATATGGTGCAATCGGATGAAAACCAAATTTTTACACTTGACAATTCTTTATTCATTTGTCAAGTGACAACTTGTAATGACACAACTTTACACTTGACAAGTGACAATACACTTGACTTTCAGCTCCTGCTATATCCAGATTCCAGGGAGGAAAGGAAGGATGATCTTTGGAATCATTACCTAATTAGACAGGAATAAAATATTCCTGACAATCATTCCTTCAATGATTCCTGTAATCAAAAAATATAATATCTTGGAAAAGTCAAAGAAAAAAGTTTAGTGTCAAGGACACTAAAGTGTCTACATAATTACTTAACTCAACAGCTTGACAGATGTCAAGAGTTAGCTAATCAGGTATCTCTTGATTTAATCATCTTGAATAACAGGGTCAATGCTGCAGTTGATAAATTTGATAAAATCAATTGCCATGCAGAGATTTATCTAACAGAGATGGCTAATGCTGATTTAACCCGAAGGAAACTTCAGGATATCAGAGCTGAAACAGCAATTATGAAAATATAATTCAGGATCGTCTTGATCAATTAATCAGACTTGCAGTAGCACAGCCAAATGTGAGCACATCCACTCAGTTTGGTACCTTGGCAGATGTAGATGGTGTTCTCAAAAGATTGGCAGATGTAGATGGTGTTCTCAAAAGATTGGCAGATGTAGATGGTGTTCTCAAAAGATTGGCAGATGTAGATGGTGTTCTCAAAAGTTTGGCAGATATAGTTTAATGCTGACAAATAAAGTTTGAGTTACAATATATCACTTGCATGAAATAAATAGGACAGATTTATTTCTAGAAGCGTTAGCAATAAAACTTCTTGTATTATTATTCAGCAATATCTTGTTTGATTATACAGTTCACTTTTGGTCGTAAAGTCACCAGATAGTGCTAACCCCACAAATAAAAAATCTTCTTTGTGAAGAGATTTAAAAAGCTTAATTTACATTCTCTTGGAAGGTGAAGAGTTAAGGGTTAAATTTAGATCAAGATATTACTCTGGGTAAGGGACTATGAATGGTGAAGTACATTACAAAATGTTTTCCACACACATTCCCACATATTATAACGCTCTGCACACACTTAACAATATTACATAATATGACTTTAAACATATTATATAATATGTGTAAAGTCAGTAGTAATTGAGAGATAATAATCGTCACTAATAATTGGGAGATAATAATTGGGAGATAATAATGATGAGCAGGTGATGAATGAGGAGGGGAAGATGTGTGCAGGGGACACTTACCCGGCCACCACGATGAAAAGATCCAGTCTGTTCCAGGAGTCAGCCATATAAGCCCCTTTCCCAGACCACCCCATCGCCACCATCTTGATCATCTCCACGGCGAAGAAGGCAAAGATTGCGTCGTCGAACATCTGTGGAAGGTGTTCCACCATCACCACCAGCACTATTACAACCACCTCTATTATACATTATATATTATTACATATATATTATATATTAACATACTAAACAATCTGGAGGATGTTGATCCGGACATTTTCTTCAAAAAAGATCAGCTGTAACATGAACGAGGAACAACGGGTTCCAGCTCAACAAGCAACATTGTAGGACTGACAACAGCAGATGCTTTTTCACCCATGGGGTTGTAAACCCGCGGAACGGCCTACCCGCTGAAACCGTAAACGCTAAAAATCGTTTTAAAATACAGCTAGAAAAGATAAGGGAAAATGGGGGGGGAACCTTTGACAAGCCGCCGGCTTCCTGTCCTCGTCGAGATCACTAGTATTAGTGGCCCCTCAGGTAAGGTGTATATAAAAACATCGTATCCCATGCTGGAGTTCTTATTTACTGACACTTATTATTATTTAAGATATTTTTTAAACCCATTTAAACAATAGGTATATATTGGATTAGTTTAGATTTAGGAAAAACCTGGGTAAATACTGGTTCGGTAACAGGGTTGTTGATTTGTGGAACCAATTACGCACAACGTTTTAGGCAAGATAAATACTTTTTTTTATTTTCTACTTTTCTATGTCTAAGTGCTCATGCTCCTTGTTTCCTTGCATCCATGATTAAGGGTGTAAGGTCTTATGCCTTCTACTCTCTTCTCTCCGGAGAGGGACAAATTGGCCGGCTGCCTCCCAACATTTCTCGTTGAAGAAGTCCAATATTTCCAGTAGCGACCGCCGAATGAGTTTCTCCAGTGGCATCTTTGACAGCTCTCTCATTTCTTTTTCCAATGATATGCCAAACTTTTACCTCTTGCCTGTTTTCTTAAAGAGTGCATGTCACCTTTCACAAGATGCTAACATGCCACTCCTTAGTGATGTCTCACCGAGTTACACTTTCAGGTGAAGTATGGCTCGTTCTTCTTTATCATAATGCCACATGGGTCCACTGACCTGCTAAGGAAAACTGGTGTTTTTAATCTTTTTAAAAATGGTTTAATTAATTAATCCTGTAGGTAGCAGTTGCGGGAACAGGTCAATAAGGTCAAAGGCCCAAGAACACGACCTTTGCCAAATGCGGAACACAGTCCACCACCACACATACAGGCCTCCACCACCACACATACAGACCTCCACCACCACACATACAGACCACCACCACACATACAGACCACCACCACACATACAGGCCTCCACCACCACACATACAGGCCTCCACCACCACACATACAGACCACCACCACACATACAGACCTCCACCACCACACATACAGACCACCACCACACATACAGGCCTCCACCACCACACATACAGGCCTCCACCACCACACATACAGACCTCCACCACCACACATACAGACCTCCACCACCACACATACAGACCACCACCACACATACAGACCTCCACCACCACACATACAGACCTCCACCACCACACATACAGACCTCCACCACCACACATACAGGCCTCCACCACCACACATACAGACCTCCACCACCACACATACAGACCTCCACCACCACACATACAGACCTCCACCACCACACATACAGACCTCCACCACCACACATACAGACCTCCACCACCACACATACAGACCTCCACCACCACACATACAGACCTCCACCACCACACTTACAGACCTCCACCACCACACATACAGACCACAGTACTCAGTACAAACCACAGCACAGTACAATCTTATTTCATATATATATATATATATATATATATATATATATATATATATATATATATATATATATATATATATATATATATATATATATATATATATATATATATATATATATATATATATATATATATATATATATATATATATATATATATATATATATATATATATATATATATATATATATATATATATATATATATATATATATATATATATATATATATATATATATATATATATATATATATATATATATATATATATATATATATATATATATATATATGAAAATATCTATCTTTAAAAGTGTTTTTAACACAGTAAGAATATTTCATTACAATATTACCTATATTAACTGAAGTAAACCCTATATTAACTGAAGTAATTTCAGTTAACTGAAGTTAACTGAAATTAGGCATTTCTACAGGATTTTATCAACCCCCTACTAGGGTAATATATCTTGTAATAATTTTGCAAAAAATAGTGCCATTTACTATTTTTAAATAGTTAATTACAAAATTTACCGATATGGTGCAATCGGATGAAAACCAAATTTTTACACTTGACAATTCTTTATTCACTTGTCAAGTGACAACTTGTAATGACACAACTTTACACTTGACAAGTGACAATACACTTGACTTTCAGCTCCTGCTATATCCAGATTCCAGGG